CCGGAGACTCGTCACTCGCCTTATCTCTCGACGGGCCTGTCGTCCGATATAACGGAACGTCGAGTCCTTACGTTAAGCCGTTGCGAGATGACATGCTCGAAGAGTGACCGCGTCGGCGTCCAAGTTTCGATTGCCTCGCGATTACATGCTTTGGCGTGATGTCGATCGCATGTCGTTATTGCATTGCCGTATATTCACTGTATTCTAGAGATCATGACTTTAGTTTACTCTAATTCAATTCGGCTATAGATTATTTCATCAATGGGGACGTTTATTTTTAATCCATTTTTTTTTAAATATAAGTACAATAATCTTTAAAATAAACGATTGAAATCAATATTGTTCATGAACTTTAAAATGTGATTACAATGTAAAAGAATATTATGTTGTTACGTGTAAAGTCTTGTTTTAATTTTTATATTTAGAGTTTTATTTTTAAGGGCAAGCAAGGTGTTTCAAATATTGAAAAATGTACAAAAAATATATAATTATTACCCTCAAATTTGTTATATAATTTGAAGTCGAAGACTAGTTGGAATAAAGATTTCAGCATTCAATTATATCATTCGCGTTAATTGCATAGGAAATTTTGGGGAAAGGAATAATCTATATTATATTTTTTTTCAGAGAAAGCCGACTTTGTTTTCACAGAAAATAAAATAATCATAGAGTTAATATAGAATATTGAGATCACATTATTTTCTCGCATGATGAGAGTTTGACAAAGTTTTCGACATATTCTGTCATCTGCGATGATTATGTATGGTGAATATACGTGTTAGGAGATTTGTTCGAGGGGTTCCAGAACGGCAGTGGAAGAATCACGCTGTCGTTGGTGAATTCACCTCTCAGACCAAAAGAAACAGCGTCGACTAAGAGTCGGGAAATATTACGCGACGTGGTGTGTCTTTCGCGCATTCGCTCTCCGTGACAATCTGAAAAGATTCACTGACGTGTACGAGCTCTCTCCGGTTCGGTCTTCGGAGCTAACTTTATTAAACCGCGCGACCGCGCGTAAACCGGAATTATGAAATAACCACCGGCGCTGTTGTCACGGCCGTGTTGTTATTATCGTCGCGGCGGTTCGCCGTGAAATTATTTATGCGTCGTCGGTTTACGCGCGCGCATTCCTGCAACACGCGTTCCGTTCGACGATCGCGCGTGCGAGCGAGCTCGTAAAAACCCGCGTCGAGAGTCGATTAAGCAACACGTCGAAGAATATAATTGATCGTTCCTGCTCGGAGAAATAACACATTTCTCATTTTCTTTTTCAAAGTCCTATAGGGAAAAAAGATTAATTTACGGTGGGATCTATAAAGTCTAATAATTGTTATTATAATGTCATTTTCACATGAAGATTGGTCTACAACGGTGCTTTTGCCCTTATAAAGAGACGGAAGATAAATTACATTTCAATTATTAATATTTTTAATCAAGTATCAAATAGGTTTTTCATATTCATTAAATGGAAAAGGTATAATATTTTTTGAAATAAAGGAAAGTCAGAATTAATCAGAAATCATATACATATATCACTTTTATCTATGTACATAATTTATTTTTGCTATAATTTTTGGTCGCTATAAAGTCTTGTACCGTTAATGGTAGGTTAACGATAAACGAGATCCGATTCCACGAGTTAAATACGTCGTCGCTCTTCATTCGAACGACTATTTTATATTCACGATCGTGTCGCATGTTTGAGAAGAAAAAGAAGGAAATGAAAGTCAAAGGGATTTGGACGCACCTAACGCGCCGATAGTCCCGTTCTAAACGGAACCAGCCACCGCAGTCGTTAATCTCGTTTCCCGCGAAGAGAGTATCGAGACAGAAAGAGAGAGATATATATATATATATACACAAAGCGGGTTTCGGGATTCGAGTTAGGGGTAGACCGCACAAGGATCGCGCTGGCTTAGGTATCAGAATGTTCGCGGTTGGTCACCCTCGAGACTGGAATCAGAGACTGAGAGAGCGAGATCTGGAGCAGGCGGGAGTGCGGCGAGAGTGCCTTTCATGTGTGTGTGTGTGTGCACGATGCGATTCGTGTGCGAGATGGGCGAGAGAAAAGAGTGAGGAGTAGCAGGATGGAAAAGAGAGAGAGAGAGAGAAAGAGAAGGAACGAGGGAGAAAGGGAGGAATGTGGCGCGAGATTTACCCTAAAGCCCCGGGCAACCGCAACCCCGAGCGATTTCGATTATCGATAGCACTCGTTTTAAAACACCCAGTGTCGATTTGCCGCTCGTCCCACTGGTAGTGCGCTAGGTGGTTGGTGGTCGTCCACCCTCCTGTGTGCGCTCTCTGTGCGATTCTTTTTATTCCCCGCTCGTTGACGGACGCGACGATTGTCACGTTGGGAATTTGTGGTCCCCGCAGATGCCATTCGAGATTCGTCCGATTGGATGGGCAACTGTAGACACCTGCCATGCTTCTTTCGCGACGTTCACCTCGACGAGCGACCGCTTGATTATTCGTTCGATAATATTCCGCGTCGCTGAAATAAATCGTATCGCGAACGAAATTATACGCGATTTTCCAAAATTTTATTTCCCCGTCGAAGATGATAGGGAGGGTTTATATTAGATTATTATTACATTATTATAATTAAAATTGTGAATACGAGAAGAAGTTTTTAATGAAATACTCCAGTGGAATCTTATCGCTTAAAGTTTATCTCGAAAATATATTGTAAAAAGAACATATTTATATATATTTTTAGATTTTTTGACCTTTAAAGCGATCTTATCTCTTTTGCATGTACCAGAACGATAAAACTTATTTTATTTAATTAAGTGTTATTTTTTAATATTTTTAAAGCTTATGCTTCTCCAATTTTTAAATAAGAAAAAAAAGAAAAGAAAATTCTCTTACAATTTGTAAGTAATTTTGTAAGTCTTATTATGGATAAAGTTAGATATTCAATGAAACGGCGGTTAATGTAACGGAAGGAAGGAATCTGACGGGAGGTGAATTCGATGGAAATTGCTCATTAGTAGAAATTTTGCGGAGTAACCGTATCGTTTCTCATGCGTGAACTCCTCGCATGTGCCTTACATATGTCAGTCGAATCTCGTCCCCCTCGTGTTAGATGAATACCCAGTCCACCCCCTGACGATCAGGCTGACGAAGTCAGGTATAACCGGCAGCATAATCACGCATCGTGATTTTTGGCCATCTGCTGGACGAGTTGCATCGTGATTTTTACACCTGCTCGTCGCTCGTTTCGAAATCGCTCGCTCAATCTGCTGTCGCGCGAACAATCGTTGATGTTTCCGGAAATATCAGGCAAAGAATTATATGTTCTCGTTGTTCTCTTTTGTTTCCCGATGCACCCGCTCGCGATGTCGATCGCGTGGGAACGCTAATGAAGAAGTTATCGTACGAAATGCGTCACGCTGGAAATTAGGGAGACTGTTACCTCACAATACATATATGTATACGTGGTCGCCCCATGTGAATTAATGTCGGATTGCTGGTATGACATTATACGATCGGCACGTACAACAATAGCAATGAAAAAAATTATCGTCTGATCGCGTGTGTTATGTATTATGAAGCATAGCATTCTGTAGACACAGCTAGTTCGATTCACAGAAATAAATTCGAAATCTACAAATATATTTGGAAGTTTAATTTATATTGAGTTTATTAGTTTATGTAAAAATTGTGTATGTGGAGATGTGTGCTATCAGTTGATTTATTATTGCGAGTATTAAAATACAATATAATAAATTTAATTTGTAAAATAGATGAACAATCTTTATAAATAAAATTATAAAAACTATTATAAAATAAATTATTTTTTTTTATATACGTTAATAAATAATTTTATGAAAATAATTTATATTGCAAATTTTTACTTATTTGTTGAAGTGTTACGTTTATATCAAACTTCGTGGTTTTTTTTCACACAATTGGGAGCAACAGCTCCTTCCACTCCTTCGTGCGTGTCAGCTTCGAGCGTTATCTGAGATATTTTTTTTTTATTTCCTTCCCGCGAAAACTTTTTTCTACGATCTCGATGACAAACGACCGGGGACCGCGGGAAGTTGGGAGACACAGAGGGCAACTTTAGTCCATCGTAAGTTGAAATTTCAGCGGCCGGAAATTCCGCAGCATTATTCGTCTCCGAGATCTCGCTGCCGTTATAGCATTGTGTGTCGCGGTAGGAAATGATGCAGGTTAAATGTACCGAGCGGTAGATAATAAACAACAATAATACACACTCGAGATAAATAACGCGCGACAGATATCGCGCGCGCAGAAAACATAAAATATTTGTCCCCGGGCCAGGTCATCCGTCATTCCCGGCTCTCGTGAAATCGATAAAGCCACTAAAGGATATTTATCGCTGAGAACGCGCTGTAAAGCTTTCTCCCCTTGACTTCTACTCTAATGCACAAGTATCTTCCGGATTCACGGCATGCTTAGTGTGCAAATTTGCTATTATCGATCAAATTAATTTTTGAAATGAATTTTGTTAGTCATCATATACACACAGGTTTTTTAAGTGAATTTTTTTGTTATTATATTTACAAGTATTTTAATAATATATATAATACATACTCTATACATATAGAATATTCGATGATAATCGTTGTATCTCTCATAAAAGATAGAGCAAATTAATACACATATATGTATACATATGTGTGCGTATTTTAATATTTCTAAAATATTTGTATTCTCTCTTTTCGAAACGCATATTTTACGAGAAACTCGATGTAAAATCTCTTGCCAATGGTCAACATAACTCAATTTAATTCTGTTTTCGCGTGCGTGAATATGTTGCGTAATTCGTGGATATATTCATCTATTGTTAATTTTATTTTAAAATTTATATTATGTAATAATGGGAAATAATAGATTATTCTAATATATATGTATGTAATTTATTTGTTACAGGTAGCGTTGGGATATACAAGTGCGATTCACGCATCGTGTTGCGAGTGCCGTGTAAAGTATCGCGTTTCGGGAGTGCCGTGTAAAGTATCGCGTTTTTCGGGAGTGCCGTGTAAAGTATCGCGCGTCGGGAGTGCCGTGTAAAGTGTCGGGCGATTGTAATTAATCATATTTTCGCGAGTGTCGTGAGTGTTCCAAGAGAGGAGGAGGAGGCCCAGGGAGGCATCGGGCAACAGCGGGACAACTGCGAGGTATGTAAAAAAAAAAAAAACATTTTTTAACTGCATTGTTTATGAGATATTCGATCGTTTTCGAACTTTCAAAATATACATGTATATACATAGTTTAAATATTTTGTTTTCAGATCATCATGTACTGCGTACTTCAACTCCGTATTGTACGTATTGGTGAGTGAGAAATTGTTTATTTTATTACATTTCTATAGCGATAATAAGGGTGTGCGAAGCGTCTCATTTCGTGGAAACTTAAATAATCAAGACTTTATTTTTAATAGTTCTAGAGTTCTTGAATTTAAACTAATAATTCTAAAGTTCTAAGAAGAGTTTTGTCTTTAAATAGAAAAATATTAATTAAAATCAAATAAAAATATTAGTATTGCTTACTTGAATATATTGAAATAAAACGCCGCTCAAGTTTCGACAATTCTGCTTATGAAATAATTCTGGTATAGTTCTGAATATGTACAATTTCCCAGAGTTATGATAGAAATAACTAGAAATTTTTTAAAACAAATATTTTATTTGAAATAAAGTTACAACTTAACTATTTATGATGTTCAACGAAATGATATGCTAGCTTCATTTACACACACCAGGTTAATGCATGCGACATGCAATGATAATCTGCGAAAGCGGCGAATGATAAAATAAATGTTGTCAGTTTGCTATTCAATCGGTTGTAAATGTCATTAAAAGTCTTTTAGAACTTTTTCTATGATATATAGCATATGCGTTCTCGCGGTCTTTTTTTATTAAAGCAAGCCAAACAGTTACTTGGCCAAGGAAAAATACGAACAGCTGCTGGAATTCTCGGAGTAAAACTGATTGAAGTGAAAAATCTTATATAAGAATAAATTATATGAATATTAATACACGATTGGAAATGCTGATCTTTCGATTTTCTCTTGTGTCAATCATAACGGGATAAACTCTATTGCCGCAACATCGACCTGAAAGTGTGCGCAATTTTATTTCAATAGATATTTACCGGATAGAAACTGTAGGACGCATATATGTGACTATGATTATAAATTAATTACACAAGACGTATTTGTCCAACGTAACTTTAAAATCACAGATTGCAGTAGCAAGAAATAGAAATGCAACATTAGCAAACATATACATATATAACTTTTATTCAATTTTTTATATCGTCTGTCTCATTGACAGAAGTAAAAATATCCTTGAAAACTTTATACAAAAATTATTCGAGATATGCAACACGTCAATTTATAAATTTATAGACATTACGGATTCTCGATAAAGAATGAGCCATTTGACTTTTGCAATAAGAAGTACTTTTTTTAAATTTTTATATTATTTTTTACATTCAATTTATTATATTAACTTTCTCTTGGACAAAAGTAAAATTATCCTTGAAAACTTTGCACAAAAATTATTATTCGAGATATGCAACATCTCAATTTATAGATTTATAGACATTACGGATGCTCGATAAAGAATGAGTCATTTGGGTTTTGCAATAAGAAATACTTTCTTTATACTGTTAGCTCTTATCAATCACTTAGAGGTCGATTTCTTCGATTTCTCAGAATCAATCTTGATCGCCGTTTGCGAAACGACAAACTCGGTAGACACAGGCGAAAAAGCGAAAGATGGGGGTAGACGTTAGTCGACGAACGAACGAACGTACGCGCGCGCGCAATTGTGGATGTGCGTGGCTGTAGGGGTTCAATTTGTCGAGCTGTAAGCAAATAACGTTTCTCTCTGAGTTTGCTCGGAGTAGAGCCAACGACGCGACGTCCTTTAATTTAAAGTCCTCCTTCGATATCGGGCGATGTGAGTTCTACCTACCTACCTACCTATCTACCTACCTACCTACCTATCTCTACCCTGGCTTTGGTTCGCTGTCGGTGCGTGCTTCATTTTCAACCACCTCGCCGTGCTTGCACGCAGCCTGCGCAAACAGATGGGGTGGCCTCGTGCAAACAGTTATTGTTTGGCACAGGCGCTTATGCACGCCTGTGAACCAGTATCGACGCAGAGATCTCAATTAGTACGGCACTCACTTAACGCGATCAGCCGTCGTCGACGCGACTCCGACATCCGGCATTCAATTAATTGAACACTCTCAGAAAGAGTTCTCTCTCTCTCTTTTCTCTCGGTAGTACTTTCTGCCTTCGAAAAAGGCTGTGAGTTCTTAACTCTAAAGAATACAATTTCGAGTAGGATTTATATCACTTGTATACTCGAGCTTTTATATATAAAGCAAATATTTGTTGAGGAATTTTATTAAAGAATGGCTAATTTTTTTTAAATATTTAGAAGAAAGAAAAATATATATGGTTTTATTCAATAAATCAAATTAAATATTTAAACAAAAGCTTGTCACATTGTGCTGTAATAATTGAAACAAACACATTACATTGCGATAATCGCAAAATATTTCTCTCTTTACTTGACTTTTACTGCTTCTACCGCAGATCAAGATCACTCGGGGTTGACAATCGTTTAAAAAAACCACCGAGGCGATATCGTCCGATATCAATACCGGGAAAATCTTGCCCATAAACAAGAAGGCTTAAGCGCGGAATCCTCGAAATGACCAAAGGCTGTTCTCACAAAGGGAAGCAGTAACTGCTCGAGAGACTTGCGCGAGATCGCGGGGTTGGCTGGTGAAATCCCTGGTTGGCCTTGGACGGGGTGAAATTACGCGCGTGTGCGAGAGACAGGCGAGAAAGAGGGAAGGAGCGCGCGAGAGAAAGAATCTTACATTCAAAATAGCAGGGATAAGACTGAGCTTTCGGATTTGGCAGGGCGTACGAACGGTCGCGAGACTCTACGTTGAGGAGACAGGATCAGGAAAGGTGGGGTGCAGGTTGTAACATGCAAATTTGAACCTTAAAGATTTTATGTCAGCGATATCTCGGAATCATCTTCCCTTCTTCCTCGATCACGTCGACGGCGTGGTCCTGGGAGGATTTCGCCCCGATCTTATCTATAGGGCAAAATTGTCTCGCGCGTTGAAAAGAGAAATAGACATTCTCTCGTTGTCCTCCTCTCGAAAAAGTAGAATCGCTTTAGCCTTTCATCGAGTATACGATTTTGAAATTGATAGCGTTTTCTTGTTGGCATACTCTTTTCGAAACGACATATGTTTTATATAGTGCAATGTTTTAATTAAGAAATTGTTTAGTTCTAATATTTGAGGAATTTTTTTTTTTTGAAAATGTATACATGTATTACAGAAAATTTGAATTTATAATATAATAATACGTAAATCGGGGGGACATAAAATTTGGATAAAATAAATTGTAGCTTTAATTGCTGAAACTAATTAAAAAATGTTGTAGAACTATAGAATTTCTTTCAAGCCAAGTTAGCACATTATTTCACATTTTCCAAATTTGAACAATGAAATTTTATAATTTTTGACTAATTCTATATTTAATATTTAATCCAAAAAACTCGTATTTTCGAATATTTATATTATTATGCAATATTACATAATTTTATTTTTATAGTATTCTCTGAGATTTTTAAATTATAAATTTTTATAGTTACAATGGGACGATTATAGCACAATATATTGTCGATATTTGACATTTTATACGAAATTTTCATTCTTTTTTCCGGCTAATTATTGCGTTTTACTAATGATCGTTTTCAGATCGAATGATAATCTGCCTGCAAAAGAATTTATTATGAATACAGAACGAAACGCGAATGGCTTATACAGCGTGTCGCGCGTTGCAATCAGATACAAAATTGCAAACGATTTTAATACGGCGGCATCATAATTCACGGTCGAACCGCGTATTTTTATTGCGCGTGCGGCGATCGAGATTGTTATCTAAATTGAATCGGATACCGGAGTTCTGGCGTGCCGCTTCTATAAACACGGGCGTAAACCAGACATACCGCGATTTTTTAAGCTGCTTTCTATGAAAATCGCTGAAAACTCGCGATATAATGAACGAAACTGCTAGCGTAAATAATTGGCGTAGTCGACCGCAGGCTTATCGAAATCTTTTTGTCATGTTTTGTGTCTATTATAGATTATTAAATCATAGCTTTTTTCACGAAGTAATAATTAAATGTTCAATTTTGTTGTATTCTCCAAATTATTTTTCTTTTCATTTTTCTCATTTTTCTTCTTTCATCTGTTATTTATTTAATGAACGACTACGCTATGGATTTTTTAATCAATATGCTAAAAGTAATTAAGATGCTCTTTGCACAGAGAGAAGAAAGATAGGATAGATCAAGTTTCTCGCACCGTGATTACGCTCAGGCTCGTTTGGCGCTACTGAAGTTGTACGATGCAGATCAATCATGCAGATATTAATATTGCGGGTCCACATTGGCCGCGCATTCGGTAGTCATACTGCACTCCGGCCATTCATCATAGCACCGTAGTAGGTTACGGCACACCGAGGGCGTGTGATTAGAATCAGTTACCCTTTACTTGTGCGCGCGCGTTGCCACTGTCCCCGTGGTGGCAGCGGGTAACCCTTGATATCCCGGACAAGGATATCCCCTCGGGTACCATCTGCCAAGAGCCGTTCCTTCTATCTCCATAGTGTCGCTCGCTCCGATGGGAGAGGCTGTGTGGGTTGCCGCGGTGGTCCTCTCTCGAAAAATTAATAAGCCACGGTCTCTCACGGCTGCGTCATTAAGGCGCGCTTAACTTCAGCTCCGGTCACCCTTGATGATCGCAGGATCACAGCGGCCTTAAATTAATCGCGAAAATGTAATGTTACTTTTGTTATATTTGAATTGGTGTTTTGATATTGTATGTTCAAATGTAGTGTTGGATATTTGGAAAAATTCAAATTTCGTAATACATTATTTGAAATCGATTGCGGAGAATGAAAAATCATTTGTTTGGTGTATTTTGAATTTTAATATGATATAAATTCTATTTTATTAATGTCAACTTATACGTATAGTATAACGGGATTTTATTGGAATATATATATAGATCCAATGTAAGCTAAGTAGGCAATTTTCTAGTGTAAGTGGGTTATCTTGCAGATAGAAATCATTTAATACACGTTTTTAAATTATTAAATAAAAAATGGATAGAGTATTATTAAATTTTAAAAGATAGTGGATCACGCCTTTGTTACGCCAGGAAACAGATAAAAAGTTCATTTGCTTTAAAAGTATCTTAATTCACTTTAATAACGGAAGTGATAATGGTA